AGCTGTTGCAGCCTCTCTGGAAAACAGTATTAACGTTCCTCAAAAAGTTGAAAATAGAGCTATCCTACAACCCAGCATTTACTCTATTGGATATTTACCCTAAAGATACAAATGTAGTGATTTGAAGGGGCACATGCACCCCTATGTTTATAGCAGCAATGTCCACAATAGCCAAACTATGGAAAGAGCCTAGATGTCCATCAACAAAAGAATGGATAAAGAAGATATATGTCCATCAACAGAAGAATGGATAAAGAAGATATATATATATATCTCATTGCCATTTGCAATGAGAGGATGTAATTAGAGGGTATTATGCTAAGCAAAATAAGTCAATCAGAGAAAGACAATTATCATATGCTTTCACTGATATGAGGAATTTGATAAACAAGACAGAGGATCATACGGGAAGGGAAGGAAAAATGAAACAAGATGAAACCAGAGAGGGAGACAAACCATAAGAGACTCTTAATCCCAGGAAACAAACTGAGAGCTGCTGGGGTGGAAGAGGGTAGGAAGGATGGGGTGGCTGGATGGTGAACACTGCGGGGTGGGGTGTGGGAGGGTATGTGCTATGGTGAGTGCTGTGAATTGTTTAAGATGAATCACAGACCAGTACCCCTGAAACAAATATATGTTAACAAAAAATGGAAAATTCAAGAGTGTCCATGATCTGGCCTTAATGATTTCATCTTAACTTGGTTCATTCCCCTACACCAAACCAAACTATGTTATTTCCTGTTCTCTCAAATCACATAAAATCTCTGTATATCTGACCACTGAAAATTATATGTAGACATCTCACCTTCTTTAAGTCAGATTCTTTCCTTGATTTGATACATGGGTACAAGCTATAACTCTTCTGAAACCCCACAGCATACGGTTTTACCTCTTTTGTGGGATTTAATCTATTCTGCACAGTTCTAATATGGTTTAGACACATCTTACTTAGCTCATTAATAATGTCCTTGACATCCTTATAGAGCTACATCTAATTTGAGTGTCTTATATGTGGCAGGCGCTCAACAAATTGGCTTTGGTGCAATACTAAATGAACACTTAAATTTTAGGTCATGCTGGAACCTAACTCTCATGCTTAAAAAAAAAAGTTAATATAAAGTCAAACTAACTGTTTAAAGATCTTCACAATCCTCCCTAAGACTATAACAGAGTCAAAAAACACTTTTGGAAAAATCTGATCTCAGTTGGCCCATGTTTCAAGAAGTCAGGTGAATCTAGGATGGAAAATCATCTAAGTCGATAGTAATCATCACACAGTGACAACCAGTGTTAAACACTGGGTAAAGTGCTTAATGGGCCTAAATCCCCTGGTTCCTACAAACATCTGAGGAAAAATGAAGCTATCCCACATTCTACCCTTGAGAAGACTGAAGCAGGAGAAACTCAGCAAGTCACTCAATGGTGGGCATCTTTGGAATGGCAGAGCCAGGATTCCAATGAAACTAAAAAAAAAAATAGAATAAAATAAGAATCTACTATAAGACTATAAAGCTCCTTCTCAAGCAGTTACAATGGGTTTTCATCATTTAAAAGAGCTCTGGGGCACCTGGTGTCTCAGTTAAGTGTCTGACTCTGGATTCTAGCTCAGGTCATGATCTCAGGGTCATAGGACTGAGCCCCAAGTGGGGCTCCATGCTCAGCTTGGAGTCTGCGTAAGATTCTCTCTCCCCCTCTGCTCCTCCACCAACTGGTATGTGGATGTGCACACCCGCATGCTCTTGTTCTCTAAAAAAATAAATACAATCTTTAAAAATAAATAAATAGGGGCACTGGGTAGCTCAGTTAGTTAAGTGTCTACCTTCAGCTCAAGTCATGATCCCAGGGTCCTGGGATCGAGTCCCACATCGAGCTCCTTGCTCAGCAGGAAGCCTGCTTCTCCCTCTGTCTCTGCCACTCCTGCTGCTTGTGCTCTCTCAAGTAAATAAATAAAATCTTTAAAAATAAAGAAACAAATAAATATAATATAAATATATAAATATAAAAACATAAATAAAATAAGTAAAATAAAAGAACTTCATCTGTGGCATATTTCAATACTACCACATATTTCTGAATCTATATGGCATGACTAGGGACGGGGTCCCTTTCCTAGTGACCTAATTCAGCCAATGGGGCTATTCTGTGACTTGGTGGGAAAACCAGCCAAGAATACTCTGAATTCATGTGCCTATCTCTTTATCAGGGAGCACTGTCCACAGTTATAAATACTAAATCGCATTTTTAAACTTAAACAATTGTGGAATCCTTCAACTGATCATTATTCTTACAAAGAAACTTACCACTAGGTGGCAGAAGTATGAAGTTAACAAGGTGATTTTTCTAGTGTTTCATAAAGGAAGAGCATCCAGGCATTTCCCCACCCTTTTTCCAAAGTAATATAAAATAGATCCTAAATTTTAAAATTATTCTCCCAAACTGCATTATAACATTTATTTTAAATATCATAATACACACAGATTTCAACCTTTTTTATATTCAACACTAACCATAACTTCACCTACCTTTAAACACAGAAGTAGAACCATACTATCAATGAATTAAGTAAAAAATAATACACTGTACATTAAGATATATTGATACTGAAATTTAAATTTGTGTTATGCTATATAAGATAGACAAAAACTTTTTTTTTTTTGTTTTTTTTTTTAAGATTCTATTTATTTGACAGAGACCAAGTGAGAGAGGGAACACAAGCAGGGGAAAGTGGGAGAGGGAGAAGCAGGCTTCCTGCTGAGGGAAGAGCCTGACATAGGACTCAATCCCAGGACCCCAGGGATCATGACATCAGCCGAAGGCTGACACTGAACAACTGAGCCACCCAGGCACCCAAAAAACTGCTTTTTAAATCATAAAGGTTGGAGTTCTTGCATTTTGTAATTTGTTTTTCTGTTTATTTGTTTCATTATGCTTGTATTTTGTTTCTAAATGTCAAAAGAGAAGGCTTCATATTCTATTTTACTGTATCATACATACATTTTACTTCTCTGCAAGTAACACTGAAGATTACCAATATGTAAAATGCAAATTGGGGAAAATCATCATTATATTTTTCTTTATGACATTTACTTTAAAAGCACAAGAGGAAGCCTGATATGCTTGATAAGAATTTTGAAGAAATAAACGTAAATTCAAAATGTGGTAAACATCTTGAAGCAAATTTGTAAAATTATCTATATACACGTGTGCACTCCTGATGAACTGTGCCCTGTTTTCTATCTTTGGTGATCCCCTGTGAGTAGAAATTAAATTATATATGATTAAATTATATATAACTATATATAATTAAGTTATACTTTACAAATATATGGGTAAAACTATATAATGATCAAAATAATTCTGAAAAGTTAGAAACTACCTCTTGCATATGTTCATTTAATATGTACTGAGGAAGAAAATATTTTAATGATGATTTTTTACTGATTTTATTAAGCAGAAAATAAAATCTCCATGTTTTGTATAAAGACCCTCTAGACCTATACAAAACTTTTATTTTGGACCTGGGGGTGGGGGTGGGGGTGGTTATAAACCATCTGTGGGTCAGGCTGGGTGTTAGTAGAAGAAATGCTTCATCTTATCATCCAGGGAAGGAGTGAAGCCTAACCTGGTTCAGGCTTTGTCCAATTACATAGAGCATAGCTAACAGAATTGGAACTCCTTCCCAAAGCTGGCAATGAGTCCAGTGTCCTGAAAACTGTTAGATAAGGCTTCTTTGGAAATACGCAAGTGAGCAAATGGTCATCAATATACAAGACCTCTAGAAGACATGCTGGCCCTGAGGTCTCCGTACAAAATTACATCCACAAAAAGTGAGGCAGCCTCAGGATACATCAGGATAATTTAGATCTCCCGAGGGTCATCTGCAACAGGCTTTCTACTTTCAAAGACTCTCTGCAAAGCAAAGGTCAAAGCAGACAGTACACAGGCTATCCTGGCTTCCATGTTTGCAAAAGCTGCTGTGTAATCAATCATTCATCTACACGCATTAAAATAAAACCGAGGTCCTCTCCAGGGATCAGTGGGAAGAAAGAGTTGCTAGGGGATTATTTTCTATGGCAAGCACCAATTTATACCTGTAAAATAGTCTAGAAATGTATGTGAAGAATAATTTGCAATATATACACATGAATGCATTTCCTCATCTTTAAGCTCTGTAAAGTACTGAATGCATTTAGAAATAAGTGAAAATTATACAGTAAGGTAAAGTTGTCTGGATGCTTGACAGGATGTGAAAAGAACATTGCTCCTGGAGCCTTGACAGTTATTAGTTGATCTGATTCATGAGATGCTTATGTTCTACTCTAAAAATAAGTACAATAACCATCATAAAAATTTCTTTGAACCATCGTCACTCAGAGGTTGACAGGTATCAAACTGCATGTTTCAAATTCATTCCTAGAAAATAAAAGATTTAGAACATATAATGGTATCTTAACACAAGGAATCTCATTTATAGGTAGTCTGTTGGAAGGATACAAAAACAATTTAAAATACAGAGAAGAAAGCTATGGGTAATTTAATTAAAAAACAAAAGTTTCAAAAAATTTTTTGAGAGCCCCTATTAGCTGCATAGAGTGGAATAGAGGTCTCTATCAACTCCCCCCCCCAACCCTAACCCAGCATGTGGTGGGTCCTCTATAAATACCTTTTGAACGAATGGTGTGGCAAGTGCCATCTCAAGGGATCTGGTATACTAGAAATTCATTTCAAAAGAGGTAAAGACAGAGATGACAGAAACTTGACAGGAATAATTGTGAGGGCAGTCCAATTAGCATGGGGCTGCCTGCCTCTCCAGCAGGTGAAGGAAAGAGGATAAATGCCAGGGGACGGGGACACAGACACAAAACACACACACACACACACACACACACACACACACACACAGGTGTTATGGCAACCTCCAGGAGATGAAAGGTTAAGAGCTGTGACAGGCACCCCCTCCGCAGTAGGTCACCTACAGGAGGTCCCTGCTCTGTCCTTACCTCCTCCCTCCTTTCTTCTGCACCCGACGCCAGGTGGGGGCTCAGCTGAGGGTGGCTGCCGGCGCTGTCCTCACGGCCTTTGTCACATGCGGCTTGCACAGAATCCCGGGAGGTCACAGGCCCCTCTGCCCTTTCTTCACTGTCCACTGAACTGAGGGACAGCGCGCTGAGGCTGTTGGGACACGCGGCACTTCCCGCGCCTGGGCTGTGGGGGCTAGGGGGCTTGGGCGTGGTAGGCCTTGGAGGGATGAGCGGCTGCTCGGGTTCGAACGTACACTGGCCACCAGCTTGGCGTTCGTCGGAGTCCTGGGCAACCGGACTCGACGAGGCTCTGGCGGCGCAAGGACGGGCACTCTCTGCCGCCCAGGAGCCTGGGGCTTCCAGAGGAAAGACGGCGGTGTCCACGTCCACCCGGGGGCTTGGGGCCCCGGGCGAGCCGCAGCTGGAGCTGGCGGGCACGCCTGCGCACCTCCTCCACTCACGCTCCGCGCTGATGGACACGCGGCGGGAGTAAGCGTCGTGCAGCCGGCTGTGCACCTGCAGCCTCTGGCTCGCCTCGCCCGGCGAGGGCGCCCCGCTCCTGGGGCTCTCTTTCCTCCAGGCTGCGTCCGTGGCGCTGCTCACAAACCTCAGGACGCGGTCAAAGTCCTTGGCCCGCAGTGGGCTCTTCCAGCGCTTCGTCCTCCTCTCGGAGCCACCGAACTTCTCCGAGTCGGCCGATGAACTGCTTAGCGTCCGTCGGGGCGCTGGCTTTTCCTGCGTCCCCTTGAGGTCCATGAGGTTTGAGGTGGACTTCCGCTTGAAGGAGCTCTTCTTCAGAAAGTTCAAGTTATCCGTGCTCTTGCTTTTCCTGTAGATGATGCTGTTGTTCTCGGAGTCTTTCACGAGGATCTCACACACGGTGGGCTCCTGGGGGCCAGGGGCCAGCGGCCGGACGTGGTTCTGGGACCCTGGATGCTTGTCACCATCTAGGAGGCTGATGCGGCCCAGGCCATAGGCACGGCGGATGCTTCGGGACCGATGGGTGCTCCTCTGGAAGGCATCGTCCGCCTCCTCCGGGTCGGAGCAGTCCGACACGCCCCCTGGCCCTGCCTTCGGGGCGTCACTTGCTGGTCCCGAGTTGGGGCACCTGCTGGTTTGCATTCCGATTGCAGCACCGTTTGGGATGGGTTTCCCTGGGTCACGTTCTGGAGGGTCTTCCTTTGCCACATCTGACCCCTCTCGGTTCTGAATTCCTTGAAGGACGGAGGACTTCAGTTTTTTGAAAGATCCCATTTTCCGAAAGGAGGCAAGGGCATTCCAGGTAGAGGAATTTCCCATCAAGACCATGGAGCGGGGCCTCTCCGGGTTGGTGCCGGTCCTCTTCCTGCTCACGGAGAAGAGGCGCATGAGCTTAGCAGGGCTGAGTCTGGCCTCCTGGGCTTCCGCCTCCCCGCAGTAGCCACTGCTGCATCCTCCATTCTGACACGCCGGGTAGGTCACCATTTTGGGGTCTTTGGGATCAGAGACAGAACACGGGATTGCAGCAAGTCGCCCATGGCCATTCTGAGCTGTTGTCATGTTCTCGGGACTGTGAGTCCGTGGCCACAGTGCAGCAGGGTTCAAACCCACCTGCACATCCGTGGCCGCAGGCCCCGGATACAGACCCTCATCTCCCAAGCTGCTGCCAGCCTGGCTTTCACACCTGCTGTGCACATCAGGCTCTTCACTTGTGGCCACTGCCTGCAACAGAAAATTAAAAACGGGGATTTACTTATTTTCCCCAACAGCAGAACCTCTAGGAACAGCGGCTTATTTGGTTTAAGGATTACAAATACAAAAGCAGCATGCCTTGTGACAGGGCGGATCAGTTCAAAACTATTTTAAAATAAAAAATTTACCTTTCCTAATTCATTTCACAATGAATTAAAGGGAAGAATGCAAATATACATGCCTTAAAAAAAAGATAATAATGGGTTGTGCGCTCAACGTAAAGGTAAATTCTCGAATCCACTGCAAGTTAACATTTTGGGAAAAATTGCTGGGATGAGGGTACCTGGGTGGCTCAGTTGGTTAAGCGACTGCCTTTGGCTCAGGTCATGATCCTGGAGTCCCGGGATGGAGTCCTGCATCAGGCTCCCTACTCGGCAGGGAGTCTGCTTCTCCCTCTGACCCTCCCCCTTCTTATGCTCTCTCTCTCTTTCTCTCTCTCGCACACACACTCTCTCAAATAAATAAATAAAATCTTTAAAAAAAAATTGCTGGAATGAAAAATTGCTAGAATGAGGCCAAGGCATCCATCGTTCAACACTGGATTTCTCTTTATTGGAAGTAGAAGAAATTTTTGATTATCAAATAAAGACAGACACCAACAACTATTTCAAAATGTGTCACAGTGAAATATCAAATCATATTAAATTTAACACAGCTAATAGGCAGATTGAGTACTGTGTGTGCAAGGAGCTCTAGTAGAGACCAAGATGCTCTCAGCTGCCTACTGTCTACAAAACACCCAAACTCTACTGAAAGACAAAGAGTGATACAGGGACACATGAGTGGAAGGGACAAACTGAGGTTGCGTGAGGTCTGGCTTTGTGAAGGAAACCGCATTAGTGAGGGCTATCTGTCAGCAGGATTCTTACTGGCTGGGGAATGGACAGGGATAAGGTAATAAATATTAGAAATTCAGACGCAAAAATTCAAATTAAACAAAAGTTGCACCTTCTTTTCTCCTCCTCCATGCCCTGAAGCCTACCATATACCTGCAGTCCATGCTCTCTCCCCCAAGTGAAGATGTAGTTCTCTTTACCCTTTGCCCTTCAGGTCAAGACCTGCTCAGCATGCATGGGCCAGCTTAAATGTCAGTCACTCTGTTCTCAACGAATGATTAGTCAATGAAGGAAGGTAGGAAGGAGTGTGATAATTACCATAAAGGACTACCACTCACTAAGTGCTTATTACTACGTGTCAGGCCCCTGTACTAAGTGTTTAAAAAATGACATGCCACTGACTATTCATATAAACCTGCAAGATTTTCATTTTACAGATTTTCATTTTACAGATAATCAGATGGGCACTTGGGCAGCAGGTGCTGGGGTTCCTGGAGCTCTTCCTCCCAAAGCTTATGCTCCTTTCCACTACTTCAAACTAATAAACAAAGAGAGTCAGAGCTGGGATATGAACCCCAAGTGTGTGACACCAATTTCAGTGCCTTATGACATAACCCCAACTCAAGTCAAATCCCAGATGCCCTTATGCCAGTCAATCCACTATTCCAAAGGCAGTATTAAAGGCAAAAGAGGAAAAGAAGGAGAAAGTTGTATAAAAACCTTAAGGTTAGGGGCGCCTGGGTGGCTCAGTGGGTTAAAACTTCAGCCTTCGGCTCAGGTCACGATCCCGGGGTCCTGGGATAGAGCCCCGCATCAGGCTCTCTGCTCAGCAGGGAGCCTGCTTCCTCCTCTCTCTCTGCTTGCCTCTCTGCCTACTTGTGATCTCTGTCTGTCAAATACATAAATAAAAATCTTAAAAAAAAAAAAAAAAAAAGACCTTAAGGTTAGGTCCCAATTTAGCTTAGTGCTCTCAAGTGTTGGAGAAAATGTGACCTCACACAAAGAGGTCTCATCTGCTTCTACTCTCCAAATTCTTTGGTGGTTCATTTTTATTTACTCCTACATCAAATTAAGGAATTCCCAGGGAGTCACAGTCAAAGGGCTGATTCCATCTGGGACCAGGAAAACTACACAGATTTAGACCCCTGGAGCCTTTCAGATGTCCATTTACCCAATTCCATTACTCAGAAGCCTAATGAGGCTACCACATGCCCTCTGCAGTTTAATGTTCTCATGGAGAAATTAGGGAGCCCGAAGAGCTGTGGGCTGCATTTGAATGAGCCACAGAAGCAGAAACTTGAATCATTCCGGCATTGAGGCTGGAAGTAAATCTCTAACCAGTTGCAAAATGAGTCTAACACTGAGTACCACCTGTCCACCCTCCCTGTCTGGGAGGGACACGGGACTGTGATTGCTTCAACTTCTCACAATCTTGAAACGAAGCAGACAGTTTATACAAATATCAAGTCCAGTCACAGGCACTGACTGATGGCATTTTACATAATAATAATAGCTTTGTTATGACTTACACTGGATACAGAGGAGCAGACATGACCGTTCTCCTGTCATCTGGCTGGACGGAGACAATTTACAGATACTACGACTAGAGGGCGCTACAAGACTTTTTATAACCAAGGATGAAAAAGTGTGTCAGGGGCCCTGAGGTTTCAAGGGGTCCTAGCAGTACTTGATTTTAATGCCAGGTTGATTGAGAATGTTCTATAACAGGCATGGGGGCAGGCCTAGGTTTTAAACTCAGTACTGTCCACATAAATCTTAAGTCATTTCAGTAATGTGTGCTCCAGTGCCACCTATAAAAGATTAGGTACCAACATTTATGTATATGGCATATCAACCAATTAATTTATGAACCTCTTAGGTACAAAGATCTGTGTAGGCCCCACGATAAACTCAAGAGAGTGACAAGGTGATAAACTGTTCTAGATGGGAACTTGGCATGAGCAAAGGAAGATCCAGGAACCTAATTTGATTAGGAGGCAATACACTTGGGTGACCAGCTGTCCCAGTTGGCCCAGTAGTTAGGTATTTTACAGGACATGAGACTCTTAGAGATGAAACCAGAAAAGCTCTTGCCAGACTGGGATGGCTGGTCACCCTACATTAGGTAGAACAATATAGTTCGAAGGATGGCACAGTGTCATGCGGTAGTAGAAATTAAGATGAAATCAGGTTTAGAAAAGAGGACATCTCTTTAGTCTAACACTTTGAGACTGCCTATAGGTGTCATCTTCTTTGGGAATCCCTTCCTGATCCTCCTAAAATTAATTAAGACCCCTTACTCTGTGGATTATGGGCATCTCACCAAATTGCTTGACCAAGACATATTTATAATGATAGGTTTATATGGCTGCCTTCAGAATGAGACTGTGAACTCTTTGAGTGTAAGAAGCTTTGCAACACTTACATTATTTATCTTGATGTAAAATTGTATCAATTATCCTGCCTTGTCAATGTCTGTCCCAACATAACAATTCATCAACAATACCACCATATTTATCCAGTTTAAAGATGCTTAAATTTTATAACACTAAAAAGTCTAAGTATTTACTAAAACTTAAGTTTTAAGATACAGATCTAGTAAAATATACACAGACTTGATTTCTGATTAGGGCAACGTGTTTTTTTTAAAAGTCCAGTGACTTACTATCTTGTTCATGCAGCTGAACAACGTGATTGTTGTGTGCTGCTTGGAATGAAACTGAAAATCACGGAAAAGGGCTTTTCCTGGAATTTCCGAGAAACATACCAAGTAGCATTATTTAGAACTAATACTTTGACCTCTATTAACTAACAAGGGTTGCGATTCAATCAGTGGTTTTGTAGCAAGTCTTGTAAATTGTGGGAGCTCTGCCAGAGAGATTTATGAACAGAACTACAAGGAAGATTTTTAGATGGGAATATTGTGAAATCCATTGTCTACGAGCTGGATTCTGGGGTGTATGAACTTTAGAACAGAACATTTCTTTTCACTTGTAATGAGAATTCTTTGAAAACAACTATGACCAATAATTTTTAAATAAGAATTTATAATACTTGAATTTGAAATTCAGAAATACATATCAGGTTAAATGTATACACAAGGGGGGGTTTTATAATCTGTTCACGTAAATTATAGAAAATGTGACATTGGAGGAAAATATATTGAAATATACTGCAAAATATATTGAAATCTGAAAGTATAAATCTTCCAAATCACAATGCTTTAGAATACTGCCTTAGGGAACATCTAACCCGTTTGTAAAGATTGGGGCACTGGAACCCAGGGGTTCGGAGAGACATACTCACTGTCAAGCCACCACTGGTGAAAGCACAGTGGGGCTGGGAATCAGAGGGACCAACCAGGTTTGGGCCCCAGCACTGCCACATACTGGCCAAAACCTGTTGGTCACCCTAGACCTCTACCTTTCCTTCCAGATCTCACTGGTCACCAAGTCGAAGAGATTCTCCTCCAGATCGCACCAGTCTGTGCTCAGTGTGGCTGCCATGGCCTTATTTCCAATCTTTAGTGCCTTCCACCTGCCTTCGCCTCCTGAAAAACATCCTCTTGCCTCCAAGTCCAGCCAGTGTCCTTCCCAAACACTGCCAGTGGAGTTCTGCCACTTCATCTAGCATCACTGGCCACCATCTCTGAATCTCGAGAGGATGTCAGATCTCAGCCTAGCGTACAATACCTCTCCACTCAGGCCGTACAGAATTACTTACAGGGAGGCTTTCTCATACTGCTGTGCTTTGGGTTATTTCCTTGTCTGCTCTCAGAGACTTCCTCCAGACATTTTGTCTCTCTGTATTGTAGGGAAAAACATTCCGGGGCTCCTCTGACAAAGGGCTTCTGGCTAAGTTGGTCAGTGGGAAGCACTGGTGGGAGACAATGAGTGTGGAAGAAGGCGGACACCAGGACACTGTGTGCATTACTGAAGGGGCGTCTTCCCCTCTCCCTCCAGCCGATGGTGGGACTATCTTCCTGTTGTTCATCTGAGTTCCTCACTCTCTCCTCTTCTGTTTCGAGGCTATATAAACATAATCCCTATTTTAGATTCTCTTTGGCTGAAATACCTGGAGATGTTTCTCATTTCCTGACTGATAAATGTGTGCTTTGTGTAATAACTTTCATTA